ACGGATTTGCTATAATTCTGTTCATCGTTTCTTGCTGTAGCATTTCGTGTCGAAATGGTAAAAAACATTTTTTAGACATTTATTAATTCTTACTTGTTGTCTTAAATGCTTTTTGACTAAAATATATTTAACTACTTTCAACTGTTTTGTTATTGTGCGTGGTATTTCATGTGATTCATTGATTATAATTATGAATAAAGTACATGTCATGTAATTCATACATACATGCATGTTATTTGTGAATAAGTATGACTAAAGAACAAAATTTTGCATAACAATATTTACATGACCTGCAAAAGATGATAATATGATAAATAAAAATACTCATTTTACATTCGTGGTACAAGTATATACTTAGCAACATATGAAAATAAACACATAAACGAATGCTTGTACTCATATAAAACGGAGAAAAAACAAATATGATAAATTACCATAAAATTAGCATAAAATTTCGTTGTTTTTTTTGGAACTTTATTAAAGTTGAAAAGTAAAGTACTAGGTAAAAAATGAAAATAACTTCATTATGTTCTTTAATATTGTAATAAATAGTTACAAAGGCGAAATACGATCGTCTTGAATCACTGCAACAAAAAAGAATAGTTTTTACTCTTTGTTCTCTATACTTAACAGATATTTGAACTATTTTAGTGATAAATGTATGTCCCATGCCGAAATGCCAAGGAAAAATACCAAAAGACTGTAGAAAGGCAGAATATGTGATTGGGGCCGATTTCAAAACAAGATGTCGCATGTGTGACAGTAGTATATGTGGTAAGTATAACAATAAAATAATAGTATGTTTATAATTCTAACAAGTTATTAGAAAAAATAATGATGTATATTGAAATTGATTCATTTTATAGAAACATTGTATTGTTTTAATGATTTATATTTCGTACCAAAGGGAAAATGCTTGTTTTTCAGTTAGTTTGATTTTATATATATGATATTTGTATGAGTACCAATGCAATATTATATGATTAATACAGGGGATACAAAACAAAATTTAGTTTTCTGTATGAAGTATACATTATTTCGATCATTAAATGCATAGATATAAATGACATTTGTTTAAAACACATTTGGTTTTATATTTTATCTTAAATTGTGTTCATTTTTTAATTGTGAGGTTGAGATAATTTGACAATTTATTTCAAAAGATTGACTATTATAGTGGTGATTGAACAACAGCTGATATTGGAAAATGTTAAAGATAAAATTTAAATCTGCCTTAAATATCAAAAGACTGTCCCACTCTTTTTATTCAATTAACATCACAGGTATATTCCGATGAGTCCTTACAGAAATTTCTTTGGGCCACATAAGTCATCATAATATTAAAGAGAATTATGTAAAAATATATCTTATTTAGACTTTTACCTGTTCACTCACTATATACCCTTGGATGGACATAAGGGGAATTTAAACTTACATATAAAACTGTCACTGTAACTGTATTCAGCTTATGTAGCATGAACACAACTTTATTCATTGCCAGCTGGAGGCAAAATATTTCATCGATATAAATAGTGCCGAAACACACTTGCATACATCATTTAAAAGTTTCACTAAAATGTTCTTGTCCCAGGTTGAAATACATGTATAATATATTGAGTTCGGTAGGGTTAATTAAATGTTCATGATGTTTCTGTAGGGAAGAAAATATCTGTATGCCCTGCATTAGATTGCCCTAATGACCGGAAAATAAAAGATGAATGTCGCAGACCAAAAACTTTTTGTGATTGAAACTGACGGAATAACGAAATGCCGTGCATGTGAATAGCAGTCTCTGTGGTATGTATGTGTATTATGTAGACTGCAAGATATTTTAATGATATAGAATTGGTCAAAGAAATATTAATAAATGGAAAAAGTAAATGATTTATCTTTTATATGAAAATTATTGGTTCTAAGTGCATGTTATTACCAAGAATTAAATTCAAACAGAGTAAGAAGTATTAGAAACAAAATACATCGTATTGATTTTCTATAGATGTTAAAGGAAAACGATCACTTACAGATCAACAGCACGTGTTCTTTCTTAAATATCAGTATTGTTTGTTTTATAAGGACGATAAGTATTTCTTTAGTGTTTATTTTCGTTCCTTAAATTATGTTGTTGGTAAAGAATGAGGATGCTAAATGTGCCTTTATGCTGTCTATATATTAACTTGAAACATACTTTTAATGCTGGTACGCCTCCTTATAAGCCCAGTGTTTCAAGAAACTCAACTAAGATTTAAGTTTTTGATTTAACATACTGTGTGCGATTAATGACTGATTTGGTCTTATTTATCACCATATTCTACTGTGTTACTAATGACCTTTTTAATATTTTGACCTCATTCTGGTTATATATACGTGCATTGTTATTTCTGTTTGCAATGCGTTAATTACTTTCTTTGTTCACTTCATACATAACATAAATGCTTTAAAATATATTTTCAAAATTTTCAATGAAACTAGCATTTATCTGGTGGCATGCAGCTTTAACTGTAGAGAAAATATACAAACATTCTTATGATTTGCGCATTTCTATCTTCTTTTTATTGATATTTGCCATAGCCAAACGCTCAATATTTAGATATGGTGAAATTATCTATATTTCAGGAAAAGAAATTCAAGGTTTGTCTCAGTACCTAAATGCCCGAATATGTCATCAAGTGCCTCGAAAATGTCGCGCTAAAAGGTATACAAGGTCGAGACGGAATAACTAAGTGTGTAAACTTTGTGATAGAGATATTTGTAAACCTCAAGATGCTGAAATCTTTGTGATGAGATATTTGTTTAAATCTTTGTGATGAGATATTTGTTTAAATCTTTGTGATGAGATATTTTGTATAAACCCGGTGCTATGATATCCGAACTCCTTTAATAAAGTTTCTTTCGTGCGGAATTAATTTCTTTAATTGTTTTTGTCCAATGATATAAATTGACAATCACTGTTTCTAACTTTCATATATCATAAAATGTCAATTATTGCTGACATTGATTACAGAACACGTCATTATAAATGGGCTGCAACTATAAAGACTAATTTGACAATTTGTGATCGTTAAGTTTTCTAAATTAAAAAAGTCGGACATGTTTATAGATTTCTAGAGCATTATCTTAACATAGATTGTATTTCGGTGAATTTGAATTTATGACTGTTCTATGAGGTACAATGTATCAACATCTTCCTTAAACGAATTGTCTAATGGAGTATTACTTGCAAATGTAAGTTTGATCTGTACGAGAAACACGTATAAATATAATTATTTGATTGTGAACGTATTGAAATTAATTTAACGCCCTTTAAAATACAACCAATGAATTTTGATAATCGTTTGAACCACGGGATGTTCTAAAAGAAATCATTATTGGTCCAAATTATTAATATTAATCATATATCAAATGCATATCGTTCCCTATATACGTAGGTCTCGTGGTTTCATTTTCAGAACGCCAAATATATATATATTGCATACTATCATACGCCATCTAAATATTTTTTTACAGTCTAAGAAAGTCACATCAAATACCATACTTATACTTGACAGAAATAAAGTTAAAACTATGGTTTGTGGTGAAAAATAAAGAGGGTCATTTTAATTTGTTGGGAATCAGATAACTTATTCTATGGCAGGACAGGTGCAAAACCTATGATCGAGAAGAAACGGACTAGCGTCTTGTCCAATACAAGTTTGACAATTGTGTACTCGTGCTAATAGAATTCCAGTGATGTCTCTAAACACTGTATTAACATCTGGAAACAAAGTGATCCCTCGGAAGCATTAATCACAACAAATAACATAAGAAATGCAGACTTGGTTTGATTGAGTCTGTACATATGAGGGATACTGAATAAGTGCAACAACATCCTCTTACGCCCTCTAGCACGGGTGATCGGTACTCAATTTTCAACACTTAAACTCTTAAATCATTTTTTTCCTACATTTTTGATTTTTTTAACACGATCTTGGCTAGTATAATATCAATATTTTTTAATTCGTAGAGTATAGTTACCATGATGTGGAAAATGACCTTTCTTTTATTATCTTGTAACAGCCTTTCGTTTGTGTTATATAACATATGTGTCAGCTTGGTCCTGATGGCGATCAATTCGGGAATGTAAACCCATGAACAACATGTTGTACCGGCTATGAGGGATCGATGCTACGTATTCATGTTCTTAAAGATGATAAAAAAACTTGCATAAAGATAGAAAATTGTACATTCTTATTGTAAACATGATCAGAAACGTTTGGTCTGTGGTAGTGTAAACAGTTTAATTGTCATATACTTTGGACAGTATTGCAACAGTTAAATCATGGAAAACATCTCTTATTATACGTTCATACATGATAGTATTTAGTATAGCAGCATTAGTCCTTCAAACTATTGATTAACAGGAAACATGTGGTTTAGGATTTCACTTACTATGAATAAAAAACGGAATAAATGTCACGGGTAGAGTGCACGGTGGCTTGCTAGAGTTTACACCATTAGAAATTTGTGATGGTTCAGAAACAACGTGCAAAACACGCCCGATCAATTTCCAGAAAATCAAAAGAAGAACTTTTGATGGTATGGTTTCATACTTTGTCTTTTTTTTTTTGTTGATATTGACCAATCATAAAATATGCTTAACACATGAATATTGATAGCAAAGATTTCTTAAACTGACGTCACCCATTGCAATTTCAGTTAAAGATAACATGCCAGACGTAATCTTTTATACTGTTTGAAATTGAATCAAGTGCTTTTATATGTTTCAAAGATCAATCAAATAATACATTAATATAAAATGTTTAGAACTGATATTTTTAGATGGTTATCACAATAACTAGCATCTTGCTTAAGATAACACTCGGTTATTAGCAACTGTTAGAAATTATGCTAATGATTTAAACAGTGTATCTATTTGATATATATTCGCAGAAAATGGATAGAAAAGTTTTCTGACATCCTAAAGTACTAAGAAGTTTGGTCATAACAGGTATAGCAACTTCATCATGTGGTATGGTTATGCCTATTTTTATATCTGTTCACTTCAAAAAGACCAAAGACATTACTGTGTTACAGGGACTGCTTCCGCTATAGCATGGATGTTCGCAGGTAAAATTATCACGTTTTCCCGCGCTGTTTCATTCTTAATTGAAAATTGCATGTTTTTGATTGAAATGGCAAAACAGAAATAGTTATTATGTAAAGGAGTTTGCGAGCGTTAAATATAGACACACAACAGAATGTGATATACATATTAGAATTTATTAAAACTTTGCAAGATCAAAGAATATGATAATAGAATTTATTAAAACTTTGCAAGATCAAAGAATATGATAATAGAAACATGTTAAACGAAGGAAAAATGAGTCCAACTAAATCGTTGTCGGGTTATCTGCCAGTGAATCTCAATATTAATTACCAAATGACAGAGTTATATCAAATTACTCGTGAGATAATAATTTGGGTATATAATGATGCTGACATAGTTCTCAAAAACACTTGGCAGTTAAATGGAAAAAAAGAATACTAATATGCCATATGGCATTAAAATTTAATGAACACAATTTGCATGTTGGTGGTCAACATAGACGTCATATGTAAAAGAAATGACTGAAACTATTGGAATAAAATCAACGGAATCTAATCTTAAATATGGTCAACGCTTTACAGAAAGTGTCGCGTTCCACCTTAATAATAAATATTTGAACATTATAACTTTTTAATCTGCTTGAAAAATATAAGTAGAATATTTATAAATATTGTATTATCATGTTGATATTACCAATTGATTCATTATCTATTGTTACAGCACTGCCTGTGTTTACTGCTATTGGGGTACAATTATATCTCAACATGAACATTAAACGATCCAGTCAGTTCCTGACTACTGGTACAAGTGAGGCTGAAGATCAACTACATATCTCATTCATTACACCTTGGGACTTGATCATAATAGGTAATAATGTTGATATATTTTATACTATAGGTAAGTGTTTTATCTAGCTAAAGGTCGTGTTGAAGCATTTTTACACAATGATCTATGATTAATTCTCAATGCATAGTATTTCAAGCACAATAGTTCCAGTAAAGTTTGATGATCAGCATAAAAAAAATTGTAAATACATGTATTGCAATATTTAATGACAAGTCAAATATAGCCAATGGTTAACCCTTTTCAATAATCTGTCAATTGCATACTGATTGCACGGTCAATACACACAATATAAATAATCTTCGATAATTCGTGTGATGTACTCAGTTGGATTTGATTAAATTGAATTTGTATCTTTGAAATATTTAAACTGACCGTTAAAGCGCAATTGCGTAAACTACCGTTTTTTTTTTCTAAATGTCCCACGTGTTATAAGATCGAGACCGCGTATGTCTATGTTTTTTTTATTTAATTTTCAACATTATTGAAGGTACGAATTTTAAGTTGTTCTTTTTTGTGTGTTTTTTTTTTAAATTGTTTGCACTTATTTTGGCAAAAACCATACATTTTTTCAATAGCATAGTTTAAGAATCAAAATTAAAATCAATAAATGTCATTTCAATGCCATAAAATTTAATACAAAACAGACAAAACAGTGTTTCTAAGTTGTTCCATATCCGTGTAAACAATTTCCCAAGCCCTATTCATTAAAACATTCCTCAGGAACAAAGAAAGTATGGGTATAAAAACAATGGCAAAAGTATGGATCGAACCAAGACCTCTAATATATTAGGTAATCAATCAACCGCCTGTGTCATTGCGATAATGACTAGAACACCTTACCAGTTAGATAGTGTGACTTTTCAAAAAATTAGTCATTTACTCTATATTTATTCTCGTACTCTATATGGACAGAACCGAAGTGGAATTGAATATTTAAATGAGTGCTATAATGCATTCATAATTGTCAGGTCAATAAAATCTGACTATATTTTTTGTTTGATTATGGGATTGTTTTTCAAAGATTTGTTTGATTTTTTATTGTTTGTTTGTTTGTTTGTTTGATTGATTAAGTAATTGATTCGAATTTACGACAAATTTATATGCATTAACCTATTTTTTTACATTAAAGTATTGCGTTTTTATTGGTATGTTTTGGGAACATTACTCTTAAATGAAATACAAATTCTCTGCTTCTATAAATGTATTTGCTAATTACACAAAACATGCTACACGAGGATGTAAACGGAAGTACATCTTCTTTTAAGTTAAGCGGTAACAGATTCTTATTGAGGTAGAATGTAGTACAGATCAAGATTAAATGAGTTCAAACAGCTGGTATCGTGTCAATATTGTCATCAGTATTCGGAAAATATCGGTAGATTTTTTTTTTGTAGTTTTAATTTAGTTTATTTATTTATTTTTGATCTTTCATGGGAAATGAATCATTACTAAGGTAAATTCAATGGTGTTGTGTTTTCAGGGTGGACATTTAATACAAATTTTCTCACATGTTATGTAATTGTGTCCGGATAAAAATATCGGTTCACATTTGAGACACTTGCGTAACGCGCCATGTACAAATGTTTCATTTAAATTAAATTTTAGATGAAAACAGTGTTTAATTGGGTATCAGACCCAGTTGCATTAATAAAATTCTGTTATATATTTAATCGGTTATGTTGCAGGTGTCGGCGGAGGTTTGGCTTTTGTTGTTGGTATACTGGTGTTTCTAACTACTGTAGATAAATCAAGAAATACACCTAAAGTCCGTTTTAGAAAGATCTCACGAGATACCGACGAGATTAGAATTGTTGAAAATGAAGAAGAATTTACGGATGAGGAGGAAGAATTCTGAAAGATTTTTGTGATGGTTATAGCTTAGTTCCACATATTCTTGTTTGCCTTTTAAATTGGCAAAAACAAACACGCTTTGCGTCAGTGACTGTGGTTTCTTTTCCTGAAAACATTTTATTACAAACTGAGGACATAGACGAAAACCTTGAATTTGGTTTAGATAAAATTTGAAACATGATTATGCTCTTAAACAACGAAATTGATTACTAACTAGAATCCTAAATGATTTCAGTGATCTTGGTCTACAGTATTAATATTTTATATATCTGGTTATTTACATCTGGATGAAGACCCATATTGAATAACTGACAGTCAAGTGAACGGACATGTGCTTTTTGATAATTGTACGCAAAGTGATAAAAAGGACCTAGAACAAATTCAACAAGAAGCCGCTAGAATAATTACTGGAACAACTAAGCTCGTATCAATCGATAAACTCATGAATGAAATTGGCTGGGAATCCCTAGAAAAAAGGAGACACAAACATAAACTTATTCTATTTTTTAAAATGAAAAACAACCTTACACCACATTATCTTTCTGATCTTGTCCCTCCGTCGATTGGCAGTGAGCACCGTTACCCTCTCAGGAACGCAGACGACATACAATATATCCGTACAAATACAGAATTTTACTATAAATCATTCTTACCTTCTGTTATTAGGGATTTCAACTCTCTTCCACCTCAAACACAAACTGCTACAACGTTAACATCATTTAAGCGACTTCTTAATACTGATATGCCAAAAGTACCTGCCCATTTTCTATGCGGTGAGCGTAAATTACAAATTTTTCACACAAGATTACGTACTAACTGCAGCTCTCTTTCTGCCGATTTATTTGATAAGAACATTACCGACTCTCCTTTGTGTGAATGTGGTGCGAGAGAAAATGCTTATCACTACTTTCTTGAATGCCCTAAATATACTAACCTACGACCTGAATTAATAAGTACTATATCTCAATTTTGTAATCCTTCCATCAATGTCATTCTTACTGGTTCCACTACTTTACCTCATGATTCTAATGTATCAATCTTTAAATCAGTTCAAAAATATATCCGAGATACAAAACGATTTTAGCGTACTTAAAACCAGAGATGTCTTAACATATTTGACATTTACTAGATTATGCATCTTAGTTCCTCGTTATTGTTCCATCATTGTTCATCCATTTCTTCCTTCCTTTTTCTAATATCTTTTTTTCTTTAAATATTCAGTGTATATACCTATTGTGCGTATCTGCTAATATACAGCTGTAAGCATTCAAATAAGATATTATTTTTCTTCTTCTTACTAAATTCTAAAACAAAACAATACTAAGATAGGTGTTTGTCTATTTGTACTTTTTTGTGAGTTGCTTTATTCTTCTTTTTTTTCTCCTTTTAACTGTTTGCTCTTACATATGTTACATTGCTAAATACTTAACTCTTAACTATTATGTGAATGTCTTTGATTACTTCAACTAACCGTTGTGTATGATAATGCCATGAACTTTGTTATTGTAAATTATTATAACTGGGAGAGGACATTTATAAGCTTTATAGCTTTCTGCCCAATCCCAAAATGTACTTTGTAAATATTGTTCACTTGTTAACTGTTTTGTTGAATAAATATGTTTAAACCAAGTGAACGGACACAAAAGAGAAACAGATTCCAAATAAGCATTTCAACAACAACAACAAAAAATGTATTTATATTCACAAAATAACTTGGAATTCGAATCTAATGTGTTTTATATATTTATTTTTTTAAATATATGTAGACCCTATGGTATGCTCCTAGTTTATTTTGAAGAATTTATTTTGGTAGGATTGTATAGAAGCTGTAAGCTTATAGACACACAATCCAATCCGTTCTAGGAAAAGATCCTAGATAATGTTGATATAACATTTGGTCCAACCCTTTGTATGTACATTGTATTTATGCTTTCGAAAATTATTGTCAAGCTGTGTTAATATATCATGTACAAATATACAATAAAATATTATTAAATTCAAACCCCACTTTTTTATACATATACGTATATGTATGGTAGCTTATAATCCATACATGATGTGCATTGTATGATATGAATAATACAAGTCTTGAATATTACAATCGATACACGTATACTGTATAATAAATGCTAGTAGTACATATTAATAATATGTCATTATTTATATACATATATTAATATATCATAATAACATGAATGGCTTGTTCTTATTCATATACAATAATTCATATCTATATGAAATATTCTCATTGATACACGTCTATGGTAATTAAAGAAAAGTACGACTGAATGCATATATAATGTTCATAATGTTTAAATTGATACACATATATGGTGTATAAAGACGTGTTTTGTGTTTATTTGGATTGATGAACGTTTATGTTATATTCTAATGTTCTAATTAAACATGTGTACGACTGAAGGCAATGTATTGATGTTTTGTATCATTTATCATTGCAATCAGAAATTTCATTGTAACATATTGCCAGCTGTTTCCAGTAGATCAATGCAAACAATGCAAATGCTACATTTCATAGTTCGATATTTTGTTATAAGCATACATACGCGCATCTTTTGTTATTGCATGCAAGGATAAATGCGTAAATCAACTGCAGGTTTTAGCTATATGCATAAGTTAAATTAGTGTTTAACAATACCTTCGAATTCAAGCATTGTTTCTGGAACCTTTAGGGATATTTGAACAATTGTGATATTGTCAAACGCGCAAAATCACGTTTAAACATGGATACATCTGTATGCGTGCGCATACTTTTGATCTTTATAAGCAGTGTATCAATGGTTCTTCAAGTGATAGGTCTGGTTGGGCATAGCTGGTTTGGGTTTTCTTTAACCGTGGATAACAATGGACAGAAAATGACACAAACCATGCATGGGGGACTCCTGTACTTTTCACCACTGAAAGTCTGCCTAGATGATGGCAACGGCTCTAGATGTAGAACACCCGAACAAATGACAATACAGGAGAGAAGGTCATTCGAAGGTGATATCAGTTAAATGTATTTACAATTATTTCTAATGTTTCATATTACGTAATATGGTAGTGTCTAAACATTGAGAAGTATTAGATTATTTTGTGTGTTTAAATATAAGATAATTAGTTAATTACTGCTCCTTTACATACTGATATCATAGTCAATATGAAATGTCATGTGTAGACACAAACACAAAAAGAGAACAATATTTGGTAAAACAATAATGTACTTTAAAGGGACTCCACTGAGTTGTTTTAACATGACGGGAAGGAAAATATATTTTTCACAGATTTGTGAACTTATTGATGATAGTCTGGACAAATAACTTGTGTGCACAATTTCGGTTCATTCCTCACCCTGATTTTGCAGAATAATCATTGTTTTCGTTGTGAAAATGACTTAAAATGAAAAGCACTGCAACGCTTTTCACTCAAATCCGGCTATAAATCACACCAAAAAATCGATTTTCAATTTAATTTTGAGTGAATCTCTTTTTAATTCTTGCAGAGTTTTGCACACTTGCAACTTGCAAGATTTTCAAAATTTAAGTTTTAATCCTTTGGACTTTGGTGGAGTTTCTTTAATATATCAATATCGTTAAATAAATATATCAATATCGGAAGAAATTGTTAAATTTAGATGTGGAAGGTGCAACTTTTAAGGAATTTATAATTTCATGTTCCAATGTCAGCCTGTTTCACTTTACTATTAAAATGTAATAATAATTTGAATGTCATGATATTTACTTCAGAATCTTTAATTGCTTTATGTTTTCAGCGACGAACCAGATTCTATCTCGGAGTGTTATAATACAGAGGTGTTTGGTTATAACTGGGCTAGCATCATCATGTTGTGGTCTAATATTTCTGTTCATATATCTCTTTATCTTTAAGAAACTTTTCAAACATAGATGCTCCGGTATAACATCCGCAGTCTTCTGGATATTTGCTGGTAAGCTGGTAAGCTAACTAATAAATTATCTTAAAGACATTCCGATTCGAATGTTATCAAGAAGATTGGATTTTGTAGTGTGTAAAAGCTGGTCATTAGCCTAAGTTAAGTCGTGTTTCATGATGTCAAAAGTAACGCATAAATTGCTCTTTGGTCTTAACTTCCACAGCCAAAGATCACAAAAGAAAAGTGAATGTTTTATACAATATTAAAAAAACATTGTTCTTCAAGCGTGATATTACGATAAAATTTATATTCATCGTGTACCATTTTCCCCTTTTCGATGTTTTTTTTTAAATAGAATTGCTACAAATAACCGGAATGAATATCTGAAATAAGCATAATTTGTAAGTTAAATGATTAAATGTTTTTTGTAAGTATTACTCAAATGGTATATGTAAACAACATTTTATTTTCTCCTTTATGAAGCACTGCCTGAATATATAGCTATTGGTGTACAAATATTTGCCAACTTTAACATGAAGAGTTCAATCAATGTGATGGCTCTATCTGAAGATACACTAGGGATGCACGTTCAAGCACAATTTATTACTCCTTGGGCAGTTATTCTTCTAGGTGAGTTTATTTTTTTCATCGGTTAACGAAAGTAAGAACAGGTCCTTTTGTAAACATGTTAATGATTATTTTTATTTATAACCAGTAGGCACCAATATATAAAAGGTATAAAAGGTATTGAGCAATTAAATTTCTTCAAATGTTACAGTTTAAATGCCCTCCATATATTTTGAATAAGTCACGCCGGAAGTCTCATTCAGAGTACAAAGCCTAGAAAGGAATATAAAATATAAAATATTACAAAATATCAATAACAGGTATGTGTAGGCTATGTAAATATAATAGAGTATATGGTATACATGTATATAAAATCAAGACGGAAAACAAATTCTTAATGGTTGTTTCTACTTATGTTTCCATCAATCATTATGTCTATCAATCATTATGTCTATCAATCATGATGTATTTGTTTGACAGAGATACAGTATGCTTTTGTTTACTATAGTATATATTATTTTGTAGGTGTGGGTTCGAAGCTCGCTGTGTTACAG